CCAGCCATGGCAGCCACTCCACCTGTGCATGTACCGACACAAAATGACTGATTCGGCTTTCCTGATATGTCATCATTCAGAGACTTGAATAGTTCTGCAGCTGAGATGTTAGTTGGTAACAAAAGTGCATATAACGTATCCTCATGCACATCCTCCTGAAAAATATATTGCACAAAAACAAGCATTGTTGCCTTGTTGTCAACATCAGTAGACTCATCAACCTGGATTGCGTACCTTGGGGACTCACTAATTCTTTCTAATAATTGTGCCTCCATGTCCTCTGCTACTTCATCAATTTGTCTAGTTATTTGGTGCTACCCAAAAGAGGAACATGGGCCACCTGCAGCCTCTCCTAAAAATTCAGGACAAATGTCCTTAGCAGCAGGCATGATCAACTCTTACAGCAATAGCAAAGGGCTTCTTAGCTTTAACAATACGCTTAGCCAGAAAGAATGATGCTCTCTTTGCAGATACATTTCATGAAGTAAGTGGTGGCCTTCACAACTGCTTCTGTTCTTCATGTTCACATTTCTTTTCTTTTCAAAAACTCCAAAGCCTTGTATTTTAATGCAGGGTGCTTGGTCTCCATGTGGTGAAGCAATTTTGAAGGTTTCACAGCTTCATTGGATAGCCAGTTGCCACCTACTATACAAAATGGGCTTGGAGAATGTGAATCACCTGTTGCAATGAACCCGTAATTTAAGTAGGACCCTTGGTATTTTCTTTTCAATGCAGCTTTCCTATTGTTAGCAGGCTTATAGGCCTCTGCTGTCTCGTTATTGGGTCTTCCCCCTTTTTCAAAGCAGCTCTCCGGCAATGAGTGTTTTTTACTCATTTTGGCTATGGCTAGCTTATGGACTTACCAAAACTGTGGCTAAGACAAGTGTACAGTACAGGAAAGATGTGAGGATGGAAGTGATAAATAAAATAATGGTCAGAGCACACGCAGACCAAAATAAGTGTCAGATTCTGACTTAAAGCCTGCCACCAGATGCAGTTGTACAATTGAAATACATCAACTCACTTGCCAGTATAAAGCCTGACACCAGATGCAGTTTAATTGTCACTTGCCACTTGCCACTCACTGACAGGGTTTTGATAGGAGTCCGCAAGCAATTGGTTTATTATGGTCTCTGTGTGGCCCAACCTCTCTGCTGACGATAGCCTGTATTTGCAGCTGCTCCCCAGCACTAACATCACCACCTCAGCTCCACCTCAGATCATCAGGCATTAGATTGTCATAAGAAGCACACAGCTTAGACCCCTTGCAGGTGCAGTTCACAGTAGGGTCAGCGCTCCTATGAGAATCTAATGCCATGGCGCATCAGACAGGAGGCAGAGCTCAGGCTGTAATATGAGTGATGGGGAGCAGCTGCAAATACAGCTGAAGTTTCACTTGCTGGCTCGCTGCTCACCTCCTGCTGTGCAGCCTGGTTCCTAACAGGCCACTGATTGGTACCCGTCCGTGGCATGGGGCTTCAGGGCCCCCGAGGTAGAGCATGGTCTTGCTACACCAAGTTTATGAGTTTGATCCCTCGTTAGGCCACATACAAGAATCAACCAATGAATAAACAAAGAAGTGGAACAACAAATCAATATTTCTCTCTCTCTCTAAACATATATATATATATATATAAAAGAAAACATAGCCCTGGCTGGTCAGTTGGTAGGAGCATCATCCTGTAAACCAAAAAGTAATAGGTTCAAGTCCCACTGAGGGCACATGCCTAGGTTGTGGGTTAGGTCCCTGTTCAGGACATGTACAAGAGGCAGCCAATTGATCTCTCTCACATAGATATTTGTTTTCTTCTCTCTCTCTCTCTCCCTCCCTTCCTCTCTCTAAAAATCAATAAGCATACCCTCGGAGGAAGGAAGGAAGGAAGGAAGGAAGGAAGGAAGGAAGGAAGGAAGGAAGGAAGGAAGGAAGGAAGGAAGAAAATGTAGTTAGTGTATTTGGCTCAGTGATGACTAGATGCAAAACATAAATACAGGATCTAAGAAAGTACAGTTAGAACACTTTTATTTCCTTTTCTTTTCTATTGCAAGGGATGGAACCTCCAGCACAATGAACGGAGGTAGTGAAAGCAGATGTCTTTGCCTTATTCCTGATCTTGTGGGGAAAGAGAAGGGCGAGGTGCCATGGAAGGGCAAAGGGAAGAGCACTGATGGGCACGTGAAGATGGGAGAATGGAAACTCAGGAAAACTTGGGGAAGATCTAAGGCAGTGGGCCTCAAATGTGGTCCATGGCTCACTCTGTCCTGCTCCTTATGACACTGCTTCTGTGCCTTCTCCCGTGGCCGCTTGTTGTATTGAAGCTCTGCCCATCTTTGTGTCACAAAACACCAGGCCCTCCTCCTCCCAGAAGCCCCCTCTGTGAGTGGAGCCACAGCTTGAGGCTGACTCCCAGGTCCTCTCATCCTTTTGGGGGGAAGAAAGGATGAACAAATCAGAAGACCACATGCCACCTCTAAACAGAAATCATGTCTCACAATTCCTAACCTCAAGGGGATCCAACTGGGCCCAGAGAACTAAACGTGACATGAAATGTGCAACTTGTGTCGAGGGAGGCTGTACACGGAACCCGCGTGGCCTGAAGGCACCTGCACAGCGGGTTCTCTACAGAAGTTGCGGAGAGTCTATGCTGTAAAAACCTTGTGCTGCCCAATGGAATGAGCAGTGACAGCCCTGGCAGGGTCCCCATCTGCAGGCAGCCTGGCAACGAGGAGACTGTCCAGCCCTGTCCCATAGCTAGTCGGGCAAGGCAAGAATGGAACCCAGGTGTCACCCCACAGAGAAGGCGGGCCGCCTCTGGAGGTCCTGCCGAGAAGCCAGTGGGTGCCCTGTCCTCTGTTCTGCCTACATTTCCAGCTGTTATCAATTCACAAGTATCTCTCACAACCCAGAAGACGACATGATATTAACGCTCTGTGACCTCAACTTCCTCATGGGTAAAACGGAGATAAGAGTACACCCAGCACAGAATGCTGTAAAGCTGAAAATGAGGCAATGGATGTTTATTGCCTGACTCAGATTAAGAGACTCCATGAGAATCTGAAACCTCTTTTCTCAGACCTGGGAGGAGGGTAATAAAAGCAGACACAGAGGTAGGCGGGGGCTGCCTGACTGTACTTGGGAGAAGTGTGGAAGAAAACTGTTAGGATTGAGGAAGCAACTGATAAAAAAGGAAGTCAGTCTGCTCCTTCCACCTCCAGAAGACCAAGGACACTTCCTGTAACGACATCATGTCCACCCACCCATGTGGTCTACTCAGTAAATCGATGCCAACCTCTTTCTGGGGAGGGGATAGGTGGAACCACCCCAAAATCTAATGAAAAAACAGAAGGAAAAAAAAAAAAACAAAAGAAAATGTGAGTCACCAAGGGTCCCAGTTCCCCAATCTCACACCCTGTTCCCCACCAGTCACAGGCTGGCAGTGCCTTCCATTACAGATGGTCCCAGGACTGTCCCTGGGCTGGCTCATCACTGCTCTGAGCCTTAACCCCCTCTGTCCAGGGACCGCTCTGGATTGGCCAGGGCTCTCACAGCTGTGGATGGAATCACTAAGGAACATTATAAAAATACGGCCTCCTGGGGCTCACCCTCCAGAGCTATGCACTCTGATGCCCAAGCCCAAAGATCCTGTGGTACAACCATGTGAAAGCATCTAGAAGGGACAGAAGGCTCCTGGACTCAGCAAGACTGAAGTTTGAGCCTTGGCAGTATGGCTCTGATGGTTGGAGCATCATCCCATATCCAAAAGATTGTGAGCTCGATTCTCAGTCAGGGCACATGCCTGGGTTTCGGGTTCAATCTCCTGTCCAGGTACATGTGGGTGGCAACCAATCAATGTTTCTTGGATGGATGTTTCTCTCTCTCCCTTCCTCCCTCTCTAAATGCAATGAAAAGATGGCCTCAGATGAGGATTAAAAAGAAGAAAAAAAGGCCCTGGCTGGTGTGGCTCAGTGTACTGAGTGCTGGCCTGTGGACCAAAGGGTCATTGGTTCAATTCCCAGTCAGGGCACACACCTGAGTTGTGGGCCAGGTCCCAGTAAGGGGCGCATGAGAAGCCACCACGCATTGATGTTTCTCTCCCTCTCTTTCTCCCTCCCTTCCCCTCTGTCTAAAAATAAATAAATAAAATATTTTAAACAGAAAAAAGACTGGAATTCAAGTCCCGACCCATCACTTGAGAGTCATGGACTTGGGGCACACGTTCTCTGAGTCTTGGTCACCTCAAAAATGAAGTGGGGAAGACAGAGGGCCCTGCAGACCCAGATTTGAACTCTCTGGGTTAGGGCATGGCCTCCAGACAGCCCACTCTCTGGGGAGATGGAAGTGTAAGACCACCCTCACCTCTTAACTTCAGGGAGGGAGTGAGATGCACAGAGGGAACAGAATGGGGCCCGTGGATCTTGATTCTGCCTGGGGCCTACAGGGGATGGCGAGAGGGCAAGGGTAAGCTGGAGGCGCCTGAGGCTGTGGCAGCGGCTGGGGCTGGGAGCTGAGGGCGTCTCCATCAGCGTCTCTCCCTCCTGCTCGAAGGGGCTGTACTTGGGCAAAGACTCACGGTGCCTTTTCCTCTCTCAGAAGGGCCTGAGCTGGTCCTGCTGCCACCACTGCCCCTGGGATGAGAGAGAGAAACAGAGGCTGAGAGGCACCCAGAGAACCAGAGAACAGGAGAGAGAGAGACAGAGAGATGGAGACTGGCTCCTAGAAGATGAGGAAGTCCCAGCAGAGACAGGCAGTTGAGGAGGGAGGGGAGGCTCCAGGTAGCCAAGGACAGGACCACACCCTCAGCATGGAGATAGGGACTGGGGGACCTATATCTTGGCTCTCTCTCACTGACCCCAAGGAAGGCCCTTTTGCAATATAGGAAAAGAAGAAGCCAGACTGAGAAAGGAAGTGCTTGTCACTCTGGGGCAGGGGTGTTTGGGGGAGGGCTCCCCCCTCCCTCAGCCCTCTGAAGGAGCCTGATCCCGTCCCTCCCAGCTGGCAGACTACACGGAGGCAGCCTCCCCTCTTGGGCCTCCCCTCTGGCCTAGAGGCTCTGCTTGTCTACTCGCCCCCTGGAGAAGAGCAAGGCGATGTGTCTGCCCCTGCTGCTGCCCCTGCTGCTGCTGCCAGCATCTCTGCAGGCTGGTGAGTGGCCAGGACCACGTGGCTCTGCCCAGGGTCACGGGGGCGGGGAGGGGGAGCCCCCGGAGAGTCTGTGGCCAGCCGTCTGGAGAAGGGGTCTGCTGGGGCAGCAACCAGACCTCCCACTCACAACAAACAATGGGCTGGGCTGGTCCCACAGTGCTGGGTCCCCCACACTCCTCACCCTCCTTTCTTCCCCAGGTGTGCAAAGGGGGACACACAGCCAGAGGCCAGCCATACTATCTGTCACACTTGTGCCCATGGGTGAATGTGCCAGGCAGTCTGAGGTAGTGTTGACAGGAGAGACCTGGTTCTTCTTGCTGACGCTTGGAAAGAATTACACAGCAGCAAATCGTCCTTCAGAAAACAGAAGCCCAGAGCTCGGCTAGGCAGGCCTCTCGCGGTTCCCAACACCATCAGCCATGTGGCTGCGGTTTCTGGTTCTTAATCCAAAGCCACGTGGCACCTTCTCATGGCCCACTAGCAAGAGTCCTTTGTCCCTTTCCTCCCTGCATGGTCTTCGTGTTGTTCCCCCACGGCATGGAGCGAACAATCTCCAAGCTCTCGTGCACATGCGCTGTACCTGGGGGAGCCGCCTGCATGGCTGCTACATCTTCGTTTCCTGCTTCCCAAAATCGCATGGTCAAAAGCCTCCAGCATGGCTGCAGGTCTGGGTGCCAACCCTGGCGGGAATCCTACCCCCCAAACCCCATCTCCAACTTTCACAGGCACGGTAACTGGGGGGCTGCTAGCCCAGCTACATCTTGGGTTAAACTCTTGCACACTTTCCTGGCTAGCCTTGTTGATATGCAAGATAACCATCGTTGCGTATGAGGACTGAAGCTATCCTTCCATTGTGACATGCAGAATGACTCTCGATCGCCCATCCCCTGCAGAAGCCCAAGGTGGGGGGGGGAGGTGATGAGAGTATCTTATATTTTTCTTGGACACCCCAATTTCTGGACCCCATTACAAATCCCCTTTCGGGGGGCCTAGCTGCACCCTGTTACAGTAGGGAAGAGGGTTTTTGTCCTTTCGAGTGGCCTCAAAATCTCTCCTTCTTTGTCCCCCTTTCAGGTGGCTCAGCAAAATGCACCTCAGGCGTTCCTTATAAAATGATCCAGCCAATACACCTCTCAGCCCCCGAGGGTGGCTCCATCCACATCCCATTCTCCTTCTGTTACGGCTGGAAGTTTACCAAGGTTCCTAGTGTGAGAATATCCTGGAGACGGGGAGAGTTCCATGGGCAGTTCATCTACAACACAACCCCACCTTTCACCCATGAGGATTACAAGGGCCGCCTCTCCCTGCACTGGACGAAGGGCCAGAGGAATGGCTCCCTCCAGATCTCTAACTTGCGGAGGGAAGACAAGTTGAAGTACTTCTGTCGAGTTCATTTGTCCACACAGACAGAAAACGAGACAGTGTGGCAGTCCATCAAGGGGACCCAACTCACCATCACCAGAGGTGAGTCCCGCTGCCCCAGCCACAGTGTCCTCCTGCCCCAGGACTGGTCCAGGCACCTCTCTTCCTGACCCTTCTCTCAAACTCCTCTCCCTGCCCTTGACTCCTTCCCAGGCCTCTGACAACCCTACCTTTTTACCATAATGTCCCCCAAACTTGGGCTGCCTTCCTTGCCCTTCCCCCTCACTGCCCCCTCCAGATCCAGCCCTCAACCCCCTTTCTTGCTACAGGCTGGGGCTCCAGCCCTGCCCCCTGCCCTCGCCCCATATCCTCCAGGTGAACTTCGCTTCTACAGGGTCCGGTGCCTGTGTGTGGAGCCCCAGCTGGCCCCACATCTGTGTCTGCCCACAGCCGTGAGCTCAGCCTGGCACACACCAGAGATACCCAAAGAGGGCCCGAGGATGCCCCTGCCCCGGCCCCTGGTCACACCCCATCACCTGTTTTTCCAAGCTCCCTGCTTCCTTTTCCCACTCTGCTCCCCAGAACACAGCCCTCAATGCTCCTGCCCCAGTCCCATCTCTTTCCCCTCCTTCCCCATCTCCACCTTTTTTACCCTTTTTTGTGTCTCACAGCAACACCCCACATCCCCACCTCCCCCACACAAACCCTTGTGTCGTCCCCCTTTGCCTCTGCCCCGGTCATTAGAGGGCAGCAATAAGGGCAGCTCCCACTTCCTGTGCACCACATCCCAACTGAATACTTTGGTATGCATCTCCCTAGTTAACCCGCACCCCTCAATAACAGTAGGTACCACTATCATCTTTCTGCTCCAGATGAGCAAACCAAGACTGTTACATGCACAAAGTCACAGTCACAGTACAGATGGAATTTGAACCCAGTTTAACCTCACGGTCTTCTCTCTTAACCAACCATTAGCCACTCAGTCTCACCTACTGACTTGATCATCTTGTAGTTTTGACGTATTTTGAACCTACTATGGGGTGTTTTGCATCAATAGGTCTTCCTGAATTGCTCCCTGGGGCACGGGAACTTGAACCTGAGCGTATGTGTCTCCAGGGCAGTGGGGGAGGGGCTCTCTCCCAGACCCAGCATAAAGGGGTGCAGTGTAAGCAGATTTGCTTTTTATAACCACTTACGCCACCAACTCTAAACTATGTCAGTGGTGAATCACTCCTCCCAGCCTGGATAAACTACTGCTATGTCTTTACCACAGAGCTGGTTTGGGATCAATTATAAAGTGGTTCACAACCTGAACTAAGCAAACCACTTTGGATTTATACTTCTTGCACCTCCGCATGTCTCCTTAAATGGCCATTTTTAAGCAGTTTGATTTCTTTTTAGATCCTTCCTCTTCCTTTCCTAACTTCCTTTTTTCATTTCTCTGAGTCACGTTTAGTTTAAGTTTTTTATCAGTAAATTAATTTTTCAGTTCTCGCAATTAATGTGATATCCATGCTTAAAATAACACAAGAAAGTAATTAAAAGAAATGTTTTTAACCCAAGTACCGTAATGTTAAGATAGCACACTGCCCTGACCGGTGTGGCTCAGTTAGTTGGGTGTTGTATCACAAAGCGAAAGGTTACTGGTTTGATTTCTGATGAGGGCACATGCTTGGGTTTCAGGTTCCATCCCTGGGCACATAGCCAAATCTAAGAACATTATCCTTTATAATTTTTTTTTCTTTCATTTCTAAGCCCAAAATCCCATATCCCACTATGGGTTGAAAATATTTTACTTTCTTCTAACTTTTGTATGGTTACTATTTACAACAAAACTCTTTAATGTAGTGAGAATTTATTTGGAATATGATGTGAGGCAAATAATTAAATTGATCTTTATACCAAGAAGTTACTCAATTGTCCCAATCTTATTTTTTGATTTATTGAAATTTTTTTTCTCTTCTTTGTTGATTCATAGGTCTGGTTTCTAAGTTCTTTTGTAGTATAGTATGCATTTCTGGCCTCTCCATTTGGCTTCACTATTTGTTTTTTGACAGGGTCAAATTTTTTAAATTTATTTTTTAATCATTTTTTTAATTTTTCAATTGCAGTTGACATACATTATTATACTAGTTTCAGGTGTGTACCCAGTGATTAGACATACACAACTTACTAAATGACCATCCAGCTAAATCTCACACCCACCTGACACCATACAGAGTTATTAGAATATAATTGACTATATACCCTATGCTGTATTTTATATCCCCATGACTATTCTGTAATAACCAATTTGTACTTTTTAATTCCTTCAGCTTTTTCCCCCATCCTACCAACCCTTTTCCCACCTGGCAACCATCAAAATGTTCTTTGTATCTGTGAGTCTGTTTCTGTTCTGCTTGTTCATTTATTTTGTTTTATAGATTCAATTTTGATAGATATGTATTTATTTCCATTTTATTGTTCATATTTCGTATCTTCTTCTTAAGGAAAACCCTTCAACATTTCATATAATACTTGTTTGGTGGTGATGACCTCCTTTGGTGAAGTTCTTTATCTGTCCTTTGATTCGAAATGATAGTTTTGCCAAGTAGAGTAATCTTGGTTGCAGGTCCTTGCTTTTTATCACTTTTTTTATTATGAAACAAATATCAATTTAATGCAATCACACTTTACGCTTTTACTAATTTAAAGAGATATCTTCTAAATACTATAGATTTTAAAAACTTTTTGTTGTTGTTGTTCAGGTACAGTTTTTCTGCCTTTTTCCTCATTGCTCTCCCCTGCCCCGTCCCACCCCTCACTTCCACAGTAAATCCCCCCATTGTCTGTGCCCATGAGTCCTCTATTCATGTTCCTTGGCTTGTCCCTTCCCCTTCTTTCCCCCGTTATCTCCCTCCCTCCTCCCCTCTGGTCACTGCCAGTTTGTTCTTTATTTCCCTGTCTCTGGTTCTATTTTTGCTCATTTGTTCATTTTGTTGATTAGGTTCCACTTATGGGTGAGATCATATGGTATTTGTTTCACTGTCTGGCTTATTTCACTCAGCATAATACTCTCCAGTTGCATCCATGCTGTCATAAAAGGTATGAACTCCTTTTTTGTTGCTGCATAGTATTCCATTGTGTCAATGTACCACAATTTTTTGATCCGTTCATTTACTGATGGGCACTTAGGCTGTTTTCCAGCACTTGGCTATTGTAAATAATGCTGCTGTGAACATTGGGGTGCATAGGTTCTTTTGAAGTGGTGATTCAGGATTCTTAGGGTATAATTGCAACAGTGGCATCACTGTATCCAAAGTCAGTTCCATTTTTAGTTTTTTGAGGAAATGCCATACTGTTTTCCACAGTGGCTGCACCAGCCTGCATTCCCACCAACAGTGTACTAGGGATCCCTTTTCTCCAGAACCTCACCAGCATTTGTTGTTTGTTGATTTATTAATGATGGCCATTCTTGAGGAGTGTTAAGTGATATCTCATTGTGGTTTTAATCTGCATCTCTCAAATGGCTAGTGATGACTACCAACTTGCACCACACGCCAAAATAAACTCAAGATGTATAAGACTTAAATAGAAGTCGTGACACCATAAAAGTCCTAGAGAGAACATAGGCAGGAAATTTCAGATATCCCACACAGCAATATTTTCACTGATATACCCCTTAGGACAAGCGATATAGAGGAAAAAATAAACAAATGGGACTACATCAAACTAAAAAGCTTCTGCACAACTAAAGAAAACATCAACAAAATGGAAAGTAAACCAATTGTATGGGGAAACATATTTGCCAATGATACCTTGGACAAAGGTTTGATCTCCAAAATGTATAAAGAACTCACACAATTCTATACCAGGAAGACAAACAATCCAATTTAAAAATGGGTAAAGGACCTGAACAGACACTTCAGAGGATATACAGAAGGCCCATAGAGATAACCTCGGACAAACAGAAGAATCGGCTTTAGCACCACCTGACTGGTAAGGAGTGCAGTGGAGACTTGAGAAGGTGTGCGGGGCGCCCACGGGCAGCAGCACCAAAAGGATATTGAAACAGCCAGTTGGATCTCCCTGAGAAGAGTGGGGTCTAATCTATAAGCAGGTATCCCCAGCCTACAGTACTAGAGCCCCAAAAGTACACAGATAACAGCCAGCTGTGAAAAGTGGCAGAGTTGCTCTCTGTCGGAGATGGGCAGCTGGAGATGCAAAGAGCTGTTTTAAGGGCCAATGCATAAATTTTTATTTGCAGTCACTTACCCTGGGATCTGCCAAAGGAAGGGGCAGAGCGGGCAAAAAACACCTGAGGAGAGACTGGGGACAGCGGTTTTGGGGAGAGAACTGAGGGAGTAGCCTCAGGATCCTGATGCTGAGTCATCCCCCACATGGCAGCAGCCATCTTGCTCAGGCAGACCACTCCCCTCTGAGCAGCCTGAAAGAAAACAATAGCCCCGACCCCAGGAGTAATTCTGTCCGATCCCGTGGTGCCTAAGCCTGACTGCTAAGTGCAGAGTGACTAGAATAACAACTGAAAGAGACGGCCACAAACAGTATATCTCTGGAAGTCTCGAACACATTGCCGAAAGTCAGACGGGGTCAACATGTGACATCACCAGAGGCGGATCCAGAAAGAAAAAACAGCGGTAAACACTAGAGGCTACTGAGATCAAATCCTCTGTGGTCTTCTCCATGATTTGTGATATTTTCTTTACCACACAGCTTTTTAACATTCATTTTAGGTCTATCAAATTTGTGCATATTAAGTCATTAGGTTTTATACTAATAGTTTATTTCTCCCCTTTCTTATAATAGTCTGAAACTCTTTACAGACTTATTAATACTGGTTTATTTGCTGTTGTAGTGGGATTGCAGGGGGGTTATTTTTGCGGATGCGGGTTTATTTCCTGGGCTTTGTGATTGTGTTCTGGCAGGACCTGCCCAAAAACACATAACACATGGTGGGCAGAGTAACCCTCAGTCAACCAGCTGGAGGGAAGGGCCCACCAAAGAATGATGAAACAACAATAAAAACCAATTACTTCCAGAGAGCCAATATAAATGGCATACAAAGCATCCAAAGAGCACCAAGTTCAGGAAATCAAGGAGAC